AACCAGAAATATCCACGTGAAGAGAGAGGTAATAAGTGGAATACAAAGATCCTCCACCAAAAGGAAGGGAAATGGGGAAAAAAAGAGACTAGAGAGAGCTGGCAGGAAGATGAAAAATAACAATGTAAGAGGGAGAGATGATTTTTGGAGTGGCAGGGAGAAAGGATTAAAAATGACCTGTTGCCTCTACAAGGAGAGAAAACATTTGAACATGGTGCTATGGAAAAAGAGGCTTCAGAACTTTAGAAGGTGGTTTAAAATGTTTTTGAAATGAAATGAATTGATATGATTTATGGGTAAAATGAAATGTGTTGGTATGATTACAGGGTTATTATAGTTTTAATTGTGTGATATATTATTATGAAGGGGCTCTAATACTGTGGTTTTGTTTTTTCGTTTAGTAGCTAGGTCTTTTTCTTTATTTAGTCTTGAAAATTGATAAAAGAGAAGGAATTGATGTGAGTAGGGATGTGTATATAAACTAGTTAAAAGTAAAGTAGCAACTTAAAGGAAAAGGAGAGTGATGATCTAAAAGAGGCTTTAGAAATTTTAGAAGGTGGTTTAAAGTGTTTGAACCGTCTATGTATGTGTTATCTGCATGTTTTTTTCCCCTCTCTTCTTTGAGAATGGAATGAACTGATAAGATATGCGGGTAAAGAATTTTGGATGTCTGTTAGCTATTAAACTGGAAATATCAGAGAAATGAAGGGAGAAAGTGGAAAGCTGTATTAGTCTGTCAATTAAAATTTTAAAAAGATGATTCTGGATAGAGCTGTTAGGAGGTAAACATTGAAAATAAGAAATAATAATAAAAATTAAGAAATATATGTTTATAACCAAAATAAAAATGAACTAAAATAAGATAAAACTTTATAATGGTAGTAATATTGGAGTAAAGGAAATTTTTCTTAGTATTCTGTGATGAGAGAGTAAGGTTGACTACGAGGAACGGTCAGGTTTATATTGCTAGAGACTGTAGATATAAATTGTCTATTAATGGATGTATGTAACACTTATTTGAGGGGAAAAATTTTTGGTGGAGTGATAGGAAATAGGTAATTATAACTATTTGCGCTGTTGTTGTCTAGAATAGGTGGTTTGTAATATAAGGTGTTAATGGAATGAATTGTGCAATTGTTAATTATTATTGAGATAAGCATTGTTGTGAAAAATCAATAAAAATATATATTTTTTTAAAAAGGAAATGTTGACAGTCAGACTCACTCTTGGCTCCTTCTTACCAATACTAAGGAACAAAATAGTACAAGTAGCAACAGACAAATTAACGACTATGTACTACATCATGAAGCAAGGGGGAACGGCTTCAGTGAAATTGTGCAGGCTGGCAATAGAGTTATGGGAATCGTGCCTGAAACACAACATGCAACTAAGGCCAATGCATATACCGGGGAAGGACAACATCAGAGCAGACAACTTAAGCAGAAGAGCAACAAACCACCACGAGTGGTCCCTGAAAGAGGAATGCTTGAGGGACATTTTCCATGAGTTCGGGTGCCCAATGCTGGATGCCTTCATGTCTTCAGAAAATGCAAAATGCCCACTCTTTTATTCAAGGAGCCGCCCAACAAGGACCCTTTTGGGAAACGCATTTTTCCACCAGTGGAAGGAACACCTTTTCTATATGTTCCTGCCAATTCCACTTATTCCCCGATTACTACAGAGAATAATGAATGACCGCACATCTGTCATGCTCATCGCACCATGGTGGCCAAGGCAGCCATGGTTTCCGCTTGTACTAAAACTGTCAAAATTCAGATACAGGAGCATACCGGTCAGTCCAGACCTGTTGTCACAGAAGGAGGGGAAGATCTTGCATCACGATCAATGCTCCCTCTAAGCTATGGAGTCCTGTGAGCAAAAATTCTACTTTATGAGCTGCTGGCATTAAAGTTGTGAGCAGGTGGTTTGGCTACTGCATAAATTAGTTTGCTCTAGATCCATCCTTCCTGAGCTAAGACGAAAATATGTGAGTCAGAGGCTAAAAAACTGTGAGCTAGATCACACTAACTCAACTTAGAGGGAACACTGATCACGACCCTGCCTTTTTCAACCTAACAGTGTGGAGGAATCCAGGTGTAAGATCTTCGCCAACAGTAGAAAGCATCATGCTTAATGCGAGAAAACCATCTAAACAAAAATCATACAGACAGAAATGGGCATGTTTTGTCTCTTTTGCAAAGGGACAGGGTGCAGAACCCGTGATAACCTCGCTACAAACAATACTAACATTTCTAACAAAGTTGTATAAGGAAGGGTTGAGTTATTCTTCAATACGGGTGTATCTGGCTGCTATATCAGCATCCCATGATCTCTTAGATGGTAGATTGGTTTTCTCCCACCCGACGGTCAAGGTTTTCCTGAGGGTTTTGTTGAATACTCACCCACCAAAGAGACCATTCATACCAATGTGGAGTTTGTCCTTGGTCCTGGCAAAACTAATGGGATGGCTGTTTGAGCCCTTATCTACTGCCCCTATACACTTAGTCACATGGAAGACGGCACTACTAGTAGTGCTGACATCCGCACGGAGGGCGAGTGAGCTCTCTGCATTGAAGGCCAACTCTCCCTACACAATTTTTCACGCTGACTGGGTGATACTTAGACCTGATCCATCCTTTCTACCAAAGGTGGTCTCACCGTTCCACTTATTTCAAAATATCACCCTGCCAGTTTTCTTTCCCAAACCAGCAGATGAGGGCCAGAGGGCACTTCATGCATTGGACGTGCGCAGGTCCCTGGCTTTCTATCTAGCTAGGACCAAAGAATTTAGGAGGGATAACAGACTATTTGTATTTTACTCTGACCCAAAACTGGGCCAACCAGTCTCTAGTCAGCAACTCCCAAAATGGATTTCCTCTGCAATTGCCTTATGCTACCAACTTGCAGGCATTCCATTACCACAAATGCCGAGGGCACACTCAGTTAGGGCTGTAGCAACCTCCACAGCATTTGTAGCAGGAGCGTCGTTACAGGATATTGGCGCTGTGGCAATGTGGGCCTCCCCATCAACATTCACGGCACACTACGCAATGGATGTTAGGGGCAGGAAAGAGGCTCGCTTCGGCCAAGCAGTTCTCAGATCAATTTTCTCCTGAGAAAGCAATGGAGTGTTATGTTAGAGAGTGTTACAGAGAGATCGTAATCTCAAGTACATAGTTTACAATGTTATTGTTTGTTTTAAGTCGTAGTAGCAGTTAGATTTAAAGAGCAGTACTGCGCATGTATGCAACGTTAATCCGTAAAAAAAAAAAAGAAGCATTTATGGTTTTCCCCTTTTTGGATCTGTGTTTCAAGAGTTGAAAATAAATACTGCAGCATTGAAATGACATGTCAGTAAAAAAAAATTGTCTCTGAGTCAAGTACTGCAGCCGCAATGGATGCCAGCACCCGCCATCCAGAAAGGTGTTTAGCTTGCAAGTCACCCATTGTGTGTGGACTGCACAGAAGCCATGAAGAAGATAAACAGGTTGCTTACCTGTAAATGATGATCTTCGAGTGGTCATCTGTGCAGCCACACACACCCACCCGGGCCATCCCCACTGCTGAGATCCTTTATGAGTGCCATAGTGTATAGCAATTGTCGGCAGTGAAGGAAGGAACTGGGGAGAAAGGGGCGGAGTCTGCCTCAGCCACTGAGCATGCTCATTAGAGAGGACTGCGCGGGACTGAGGCGGACACCGCATCAGGTAGGAGTCTATAAGCTTTTCTAGGCTTCCCGGAGAGGGTTCAACGGGGGCATGAAACCCATTGTGTGTGGACTGTACAGATGACCACTCAAAGATCATTAGTTACAGGTAAGCAACCTGTTTCTCTTTTGTGCTTTTTTGGGTGGGAGAATAATCTCATCTATAGCTATTTTAAGGAATATAGGAGATGCTGCTCTTTATGAGACTTTTTCTGTAATCTATATGTTCCTTCGGTGTGCTTTTGGAAGATAGAAAAAGTGTATTAGAATGAGGGTGCCAAGAGATAATCCTTAAGGCTCCCTTACTCTGTGACGATGGTTCATTTCTGGTATCTCATGAGAATTGTTCCACCTAATGTTCTGGTGTTTATGAAATTAAATACTGTAAATTATTCACTTTTGGGGTGAGCTCCTGTAGCCCCTAGATAAATCTGCAGTTTGAGGGGGATGCACTACCTTCTGTAGGCCAGCTACATGTTACGGTTTTCAACTTGCCTTTCCAATCATGTCAGTGGCTGGGAACTCTATTTGCAAGTGTGGGGGGCCCTGAATTAGGATCTGCACCATTGCGTACAGGGAAAAGACCTTCAGCCTTCCCCCACACTATTTTCCTGACTTGAAATGGCCCTAAGGGAGTGCTAGTCACTGCTTTGGGGGCCTGCACTTGTAGCCCATTAAGATACATATATATCCTTAAACGGGATACATAGCACATGCACACACACTTTTTTTTACATTTGGGAAAATGGCACATGAGAAGGCTGAATCCCTTTTTTTCTTGTACAGCACAGTTCCAGTCCAAATCATGTTTTTGCATGCTTGGAAATTTAAGGGAACCTGCAGCTAGTATGTGACTGATTGACTGAAAGTCAGGTTGGAGAACCCACATACAAGCCACAGAAAACTGTAATATGTTGTTTGGCACGAGTCAGTTATTAAACACTCCTGATTAGATTCAGTCACAGTTAGTGTCAAAACGCGGTTCCCCCACCCCTTAGCATCTTATGGCTCAGGGCTATTGTGGTCAGGGATGAGGGTGGTCAGGGGATGTCAGGTCCAAACAAGTGGGTTGCCTGGTACATCTTACTTATTTCTTATGAGAATGCTTGGGGGGGAAATGAGCATTTGAAAACCTGTTCTGATATTGGCACCCATGTTTTGCTTCTGAATCACTTCTAAACAACAGTGCATGTCTTCTCCTTTTATGTGCATGCTCTTCCCTTGTGGTGTTTATTTGAAGCAATTGTGAAGGTGTATATATGCATAAAAAGCAGCTGTCTTTCATTGTTTGCAGGCTCTTCCAGAGGACCCAGCCCCTTAACAATGGGTGCACAAGACACTCTGCCTGTAGCTGCAGCTTTCACGGAAACTGTTAATGCATACTTCAAAGGAGCAGACCCTAACAAGTAGGTATCATTTTTTTGCTCTGTCTTTCCCATGCAGTGGAGACATGTGGTGCCAGCCAGCAAGAAAGCTAGAGAAACTATTCACTGGCAGCTGACAAGTAATTGCTAAAGGCATTTGCTTTGATTTTTGACATGGGGCTCCTCTGCTGCTTCTCTGTGTTAAGGAATGGACCATGCATAGGAAATTGCATCATCATCTAAAATTACTGAGCATGCAGGTAAGAGAAGGAGGGAAGAAAGGGGAACATTTTCTTTCATGTTGGCAACTTTTTATTAACATTTGCAGACACAGTTAAGGAAAACTACACAAACCTGGCTTCTTGTACTCTCAGGCACATCTCAGAACTCCCTCCTTACCTCTCATACAGTAACAGTAAACACTAACTTTGGTTATGCATGATGTACATGGGCTAACTAGAGCTATTTTTTCTCCTGATGATCAGGATTTTATCTTCATTGAACCTCCAGACATGCCTTTGTATGTCATGGGTGGTAGGTAAAATTAATGTTTAACCATGATTCTCAGCATGAGAAGGAAGGACAGGGGCATGCATGAAAGCTGGGCAGCAAGCTAGGATCAGTGCAGTTTTCCTTAACAAAAGTGATGCCTGAAATTAGCTAATTATTTAAATCAGGGGTTAAATAAGTGTGGTAGTTCTTCATTGACAATTTACTTTGGTTTCCTTTGACTTGATTTCAGTTCTCCTTATGATAATTGGCTGCTGTTCAGGTTCACTATGCATTATCTTCTGTCATGTTAGTACATATCTATATACTAATACCGAAGTCGCCCCCTGGTGTGCGGATAGATAAATCCGCACATCGGGGGGACCTGGGGGGGAGGGAGAGGTTTGTGCACACGTGCGGCGGTCCCCACGTGTGCACAAAAATCCTAAATGTGGGAAAAAACATCAGGGGATGTTTAAATCCCCCCGAAACTCACAGAGCGTCCTCTGCGCATGCGCAGGGAACGCTCTGCGACCGCCGCTGCTGCCACCGCCGCTTGGTAGGTGAGCGGTGAGCTGGGAGGGGGGAGGAGAAGAAGCCAGGGGGGAGGAGAAAGAGCCGCGAGGGCCGAGCGGCTCGCCGCTTGGCCCTCGGTTCGGAGCCGGGGGGGGGGGGGGGGGAAGGGGAAAGTGCCCAGGGCAAAGCACCCAGGCAGGCGAGCGAGCAAGGAGCCCTCTTCTCCCTCGTGGAAGGCCGGCCTCCCAAAGCTACACACGCCCACAACTTACCAGGGGCGTCGGGAAGGCGCAGCCCCCTCCCGCGGCCGCCCTCGGTCCCTCCTTCAAGGCTCCAGCGCGCCGAATCCCCTGCCGAGGCCCCGCCTGAGGGAGGCGTGAGTGACGGAGCGCCTCCCTGCCTGCCAAGATGGCAGCTCCGAACAAGCAGTGAGTGGGGGAGGGGCGGCGGGCCGAGCTGAGGTGATTTGCGGGGAGGAGAAAAGAGCCCGAATGGTATAAAATGGGGGCGGTGGCGGGTTGGGCGGGAAGGGAAAGCAGAGGGTGGCGTATCT